CTAATAGCGGTTAAAACTATCGGGGACCCTGCATTCTGGCTCAGTTTTATGAGATCTGTCATCACGCCACTTCTTATGTACGGATTTTCGGATAACTATAGTGTTTTGCTTGAGCCCATTGGAAAATATATTTTTTTCGCAGGAAATGTGACTTAAAAAACTTTCGATAAACAATCTTAAATAATTGAAACCGACGTGTCAGATCAGACGCAGAACGGTAGCACACATCACAGCTGAATCTGCCAATATTTTTCCATCTTTGATTTTCTCATACTCATTTTTGTTTAATATGTTCTTGTTTTTTTTTTAGAAGTTTTTCTGGCTCAAACCTTGGAATGGTGCAAGAAGATCAAAATGTACATGCGATTTTAAAAAACAAAAAAATTGTATGTCATTGAAAGTAGAAACATAATTACCCGATTATTGTTATAATTTTCTTCCATTTCATTGCCATAACTGGTGTTTTATAATAGCAGTCATCATTACCCATCCAATACATCATTTAAAATACAACACACCATTAAATATGCAATACCTTATAACATATACAATAAGTCCTTACACATGCATGACATCATTACACATATCATGACAAATACAATATATCATTACAAATACATTACATAATTACACATAAAATACATCATTACAAATATAATATATTATTAAACAGACTTAACATCAATATACATAGAAAAAATTATAATACAAACAATACATTATTTTAAATACAATAATCATTACACATAAAATACATCATTATATATGCAATGCATTGTTAGGCATACTATACAACATGACATACACAATACATCACTACACACACAATATATCTTTACATATACAGTACTTAATTAAAAATGAAATACATCACTACACAAGCAATACATTTTTACACATGCAATACATTTTTACCCATGCATACATCATTACACATATATTTATTTAACCAAGAGACAATTTTTTTAATTTAGAACAATTTAAAAACAAGGATCGAGAGCAGGGGTGGGAAAACTGCGGCCCGGCAACAGATATTATGCGGCCCTGGAATGCATTTAGAAATTTAACAAAAAAAACTTTGTTTTTAAGATATTTTGTTGAATTGTACAGAATTTCATGTATTGTTGTCATGGCCGGCCTTTAGGGTGTGCGACCTGTGCCCGCGGACATGGCGCCGAGCAAATATTTAAATTCCATACGTTTATTATAGTAAAGTGTGAACCTTGGGTCCCGGGTCGAGAAACGATCTTCTAACGTTTCGTACACGGCGTGTGCTTAGGGCGCCATTAATGATCTTCCAAAATAGGAAAACAGCATTGCATGTGGGCGCCATGGAAGAAAAATAGAAATTGCAATAAAAAAAAAGATATTCTGATACAAGTTAACAAAAAATTTTTTATTGTTCATTCTTTGATTAAAAAAAAAAGAATATAGTTGATAAACGCATTACCCAATACCTAATTTTTTCCCGTTAATGATTATACTAAAAAGGGGTGCGAAAGTTAAACATGCACAGGGCGCCAGCAACCGTCGGGCCGGCCGTGCTGTTGCGATTGTTTTAACAAGTTTGTTCAAATTTCTTTCTAATTTTTTTTTTTTTTTTTTTTAAACAGTCCTTGACTTTTTTCATGGGATGCTAACATGCGAAATTAACGATTTTAATATAGAGAAATATAATGCCAGGTACACACTGGTACGGCAGCACCCCTTCTAAAAAATTTGTTCAAATTTCTTTTTAATTTTTTTTTTTTTTTTTTTTAAACAGTCCTTGACTTTTGTCATGGGATGCTAACATGCGAAATTAACGATTTTAATATAGAGAAATATAATGCCAGGTACACACTGGTACGGCAGCACCCCTTCACGTGTGTTTCAAATAGTCGAATCCTATGTCACAGTTCGCTGGTTTTACAGATTGCCTAAAAGAAAACAACTTGATCCCAGAGAAAGCTATTGCAATACATGTATACAACGCCGAATGTGTGTTGATTATTTTATTTATTTTTGTATTTACGTTTTCCAGTGTTAGGTTTCTTAGAATTATATACACACAATTTATATCGTGGTTCAGCGTCACACTTAGCCGGTAAAATCTACAGTTCCCCACCGTTCAAACCCTAAGCGTTGCCATGGCTACCGGGCTAAATAAACGTGGAGCTGCCAGCTGGAGAACTTCAGTGTTACACCAAACTTTGTGAAGACCCCCTGATGTGGCCTCGTCCAATGCAAGCCTGGAGAAAAAGAGTCTACTGGTCACCCCCTACGCCACTTATGTGCTTGCTTGTGTGATAAACGACTATGACTTGGACCGTCTGGGAAATTTGGTCTACATCGTCCTGGGCAATTTGTTTTTCTACCTGATGTTGTTACGTCCAAAAATCAAAATCTAATAAAACTTTAAAATCCTTTAAATAAACCTCTTTTGATGGTGTGTTTCTTTCTTTGTTGCAGGCAAAATGTTTGGAACGCTAATTGGCCCACTTCCCGTCATTGAATTGAGCTGAAACTTGGTTCATAGACTCATTACCGATGACAACAGAAACGATCGAATTTTCACCCCTTATCCCAACCCCACAAAATAAGTTGTTGTTTTTTTTGTTTTTTTCACGGGTGAAATGTTAATGATTTGTTCATTGGGTGACATTGTTGTGGTGTGGAGGTCAATTTTGTAGTTGTTGCTATATGCTTTTTTGTTTGGTGACATACTTGAGTTTAGATAGATCTTTAGTCTGTTAGGTTTTACATAAACTACATTTGATAAAAACCATCCCAATGAACAAAATCAGTTGCTGCAATCACATAAATGATAAATCATGAAGAATTACATAAATGAAAAGTAAAATGCTTATAAAGGATTTATACCACACAAAAAACTTTGTTTTATGGGTTGTATAACCATAAGGATTAAATTTTTTTTTTTCCTTAAGTCACCTACAAAGCCTACTTGACATCCAGTTTAAAACATTTATATAAAGATCTAGTGGCAAACCTGTTAGCATTGAATGGACTGGTAACTTACCGCAAAGATAAGTAGACTAATTAAAAGTATAACTAGAAGAAAATCGACTGAACACAGTCGTTACATCTTCTGTTTCCTGGTGTTTGTTTGTTGTAGGTATGTTGCTTGTGTCAAGGGTAGAAATACGTGTTTTGTAGTGTTGTCTAGGATATGGCTGGAGTATGATTCTTACACCTGTTCTCCCCACCGCCAGATCGTGCGGAAGCACGTCGGGAACCTCCCCCCTGGCCTTGAGGGGGGAAAACGACTGAAAACGCTGCTTTTAAAGCGTTCGCGGTCCACTCTTCTTGGGTCTGAACGACTTTGATTCCTCTCTGTGGGAAAGGTGTTGCGTTACCTCCCCCCACCGTCCAGGGAGTTTTCCGGTCGGGAGTAAGCGGGGACGAAACGGTCACCTAGGAGCAGCTTTCTCAGGGCCGCGTAGCTAAAATTCAATGGCAACGATTTTGACCTCCACCCATTAACAGCAACTAGTAATCATGATATTGCTTACCTCCCGTTTCGTTGGGAGTCATGCAGTGGCCGGGGTCTTTTAGCTTCGGGAGGAAAATTTCCCTACTGGTCTGCCACGCCACGAAGAGGCAAAAACCCCATGTGGACGCCCACAAGTTCCCTCGGAGACGCTCCGCTTTCGCGGACAGCCACAACTCTACCAAACGCGCCTACCTTTTCTTTACAATTTCCTACGCCAGCCACTTGATCCCGCTAGCACATGTATTACGTTCATAAAATAAATAACTATTATCAGGGATTCTCACATCGTCAACTTATCTGGAAAAAAAAACAACTGGTGATTTTGTGATTTCATATTAAAACGGTGGTTGGTAAAAATTAAAATACAATTTTAGTGAGTTGTTTGATTTAAAAAAAGCATGCGTTTACCAGCTTGAAACATATAACTTATTTCCCTTACATGTAACGTAAGTCATTACAAAGAATATCTTTCAACTACAAATCACATATTTCACTTAGATATCCCATATATAATTTAAATTCAACATATTTCACTTAAATATCCCATATATACATTACAATCAAAATATTTGACTTAGACATCCCATATATAAATTACATTCAACATATTTCACTTAAATAACCCATATATCAATTACATTCAACATATTTTCAATAAAAAATCCCATACATAAATTACATTCAACATATTTCATTTACATATACCATATATAAATTACATTCAACATATTTCCTTTCACAAATATCATATATAAATTACATTCAAAATATTTCACTTAAATATCGCATATATAAATTACATTCAAAATATTTCACTTAAATATCGCATATATAAATTACATTCAAAATATTTCACTTACATAACATAAATTTATGTCTATACTTAAAACCTCTTGGGACGGAGGCTATTTTCAATGTCTGTGTCAAAAAGACTGAGCATTTTCTTAAATGTCTGTACCGAAAAGACGGATCATTTTTTGAAATGTCTGTGGCAAAAAGATGGAGCCTTTTTTCACAAGACCTGCACTTACTTTCAAAAAAATTTTTTTTTTAAATTAACTAATTACTTTACACTTATAAAACTATACATTTTCTTGTAGGGAATTGAATTAACCAATACAATCTTTAGCAATCCAACTGAAATCTCAAATTTTGTTTGCTAATGAGATAGACGGATTTGCATAATTTATAGCGGAACACATTAACTAGGTCTATCTTATTTAAAATAAAATTGTCTTTCTTGGAGAATTTTCTTAAATTTTATAAATGTCCAAGCCTATATAAATTCTAATCCATATCTGAATGAGATTCTGTGCAAAAAACTGCACTAAATTTTCTCATGGGGCTGTTATGCCTTTGGGCATATTTCAAGGTCACATATTTGTTAAAGCATTTATAGGGTCACTGTGTACAAAACAATTGACGTCATATGAAAGAAAACCGTTAAATAACAAAGAAAGCCACCATTAAAATGTCAACATGATCAAGAAGTGTGAGAAGCAATCTGATCATCCTCCTCCTGCTGGCCAACGGTTTGCTCATATTCAAGAATGTCCGTAAATGTGATTTCATGTACAAGCTAAAAACTCTGACAATTTTATCACTGGCCGTTGGAGATGGACTTATGGCCCTGTATCCAATGGCGGTGTTCACGAGAATTTTGTTCAGCGATTTCAGACCAAACTCTTGTAGTTTGATTGCAACGTGCACCGTTTACATGCCATATCTGATTACTTTTGTGTATGGTCTCGGATTAATGGTATTAGGATTAGAACTTGTTCAACATCACAAAATTTCATCCTTAAGTAAAAACTCAAAACTCATCTGTTCATTGATTGCCAGCAGTATTCCGTGGATTCTTGGACTTATTATCATCTTACCTCTTGGTTTGGCTAACATTGATATGGACACGTGCGAGAGGAGTCAGACTATTGATCAGTTCAAAGCCTTGATTGTCTTAGGCATTATCCTGCCAGCATGTGGTGCTGTCATTACTTCTTTCATTGTAAAGTGCAAAGACCAGGCCAGGTACCAACAATTAGTGAGTAGCAACCCACAAGTCATGGTTGATTTAAATACTCACAACGCGGCTTATGACAAAGCCCCACTAAACGAACAAAAGGAATCTACTCCAACAGCTCCAGGTAATCCATACCCACGGCCGTCAACGCTTGACCGTCCAACGTATACGGTCGAACAGCAATATCTAACCCATCAACAGCAGTTTTACGAGCCACCATCGACACAGCCCTACGCCCTACCAACTCAACCACATTACATTCATTGCGGTAACCAAGGTGGTAATTTTATCCTCGCCGCTACTCCAATGGGAATCATGAGAATTGCAGTAGAAGTCGCGAGCGATTCAACGCAGAGACGTAACAGGCTTCTCGTCATCTCAGTCCTCTATTTCATATTAGTTACGCCTTTAGCTTTTTTCCTTCTCGGCTACTCTTTGAACCCAGACGCCATACCGATGGGAGTAGTGGCTTCAGTGACTATAGGAAACATAGTATTCTGGCTCAATGTTATCAGATCTGTCATCACACCCATTTTTATGTACGGCTATTCTGATAACTAAACGTTCGATTGTAAGACAGACTGACGTCTTGAGCATGGGGAAAATTTTCTCAGGTCAGCTTTGGACATTCAAAATCTCAAAATACAATCTGAAATATATGAAACCGATGTGTCAAAGCATACATAGAAGGTTAGGAGACATCAATGGATATATGTATAGCCTCGTCAGAGACGTAACTATGAGGAGGCAGATGTCCCTGGGCGCAAAACTCGTTGGGGCGCCAAATTGGGCTTTACGGTACATTACTGATGACAATAAGGGGTAAAAAAGTTGAGGGGAGTGCGAAAATCTAAATCTTGTCTCCGAGCGCCAAATACCCTAGCTACGCCTATGTGTTTCTGCAAACTGTCAACACTTCCGGTGTAGTTGGCTGGACTTGTCTGATTCTCAGGTTCAGCCAAACTGTCTTGGTACATCTCTTGATAAATCTCTTGGTTACATCTCTTGGTAATCTCTTGGTATATCTATTCGTAATCTCTTGGCAATCTTTTGATACATTTCTTGGTACATCTCTTGGTACATCTCTTGGTATATCCCTTACTACATCTCTCCTTATTGATTATCTTTTCAACTGAGAGTCATAGTGTGTTTCTACGGATCTTTGATAAACTTTTCATTATTAACATGAAATAAATTTAATAAGTGCTTTTGGTTTGTGGGTGCTCGTGCCTGTGCTAATGAAGTCATTATATAGTTTAGATTGTCACATAACTCAAATTACAACAAAATCCATGTAATATTCATAATTATATTTTTCCACCAAACATTTTAGTTGACACTTTCACTAAATGTACGTAACAATAAAAAAAAATGCTTAATTAGTCTTTTCAAACATTTCATTTCTTTTGTTTTAAATATCTTTTAATATCAATTCTGTCCCTTTGTAATTGTGTCAAATTGTGCCTGGTTATTGGATGATCACTACAGTTGTAAAGGTTAATTTTAAGGAATTGAGGTCTTGGGAAACGTAGATTTTGTTTCTGAGAGTATGATAACAAGAAAATTAGGTCTTTTGAACTGGAGCTTTTGTTTCTGAGAGTATGTTAACCAGAAAATGAGGTCTTTTGAACCGGAGCTTTTGTTTGTGAGAGTATGATAACAAGAAAATGAGGTCTTTTGAACTGGAGCTTTTGTTTCTGAGAGTATGTTAACCAGAAAATGAGGTCTTTTGAACCGGAGCTTTTGTTTCTGAGAGTATGATAACCAGAAAATGAGATCTTTTGAACTATAGCTTTGTTTCTGAGAGTATGGTAACAAGAAAATGAAGTCTTTTGAACTGGAGCTTTTGTTTCTGATAGAATGGTAACCAGAAAATGCGGTCTTTTGAACTAGAGCTTTTGTTTCTGAGTGTATGCTAACCAGAAAATTAGGTCTTTTGACTGGAGTTTTTGTTTCTGACAGTAGGTTAACCAGAAAATGAGACCTTTGGAAATAGAGCTTTTGTTTCTGAGAGTATGATAATCATGAATTGAGGTCTTGGAGGAAATTAGAGGTTTTGTTTCTGAGAGTATGGTAACCAGAAATAGCACAAGAAAATGTCCACAAACACACACAAAAAAAACAACAACAACAAAACTATCGAATGAACAGATACGAGCGGAAATGATTAGTTCTGTAAACGTTAGAGGCTCTGTCGAATCATATTGAGAGCGTATTCTGGACCTGCCACATGTCGTAAAAAGGACGTCGTAATGTTTGTTACACCGTCCAACTAGCAGAGAGAAAGGGAGGTCGGGTCACGTATCTATCACAGGTTGGAGGGCGGGTCACGTATCTATCACAGGTTGGAGGGCGGGTCACGTATCTATCACAGGTTGGAGGGCGGGTCACGTATCTATCACAGGTTGGAGGGCGGGTCACGTATCTATCACAGGTTGGAGGGCGGGTCATGTCACGTATCTATCAGCGGTTGGAGGGCGGGTCACGTATCTATCACAGGTTGGAGGTCGGGTTACGTATCTATCACAGGTTGGAGGTCGGGTCACGTATCTATCACAGGTTGGAGGGTGGGTCACGAATCTTTCACAGGTTGGAGGTCGGGTCACGTATCTATCACAGGTTGGAGGGCGGGTCACGTATCTATCACAGGTTGGAGGGCGGGTCACGTATCTATCACAGGTTGGTAACTCGTGTAAACATACAGCCCGGGGGGGGGGTTATCAAAACAATCACAGTTACGCTCAGCGCGTGTGTCTACACAAACTTTGAATTTGCCATTTAAAAGTTTTAAAACCGAGATGAAATTATTTCAATTACTTTATCTTTCAACGTCTGGGCATCTTTTTCAATCCCCCGTTTATTCATTAATAAATATTCAAGTTTTGTATTCATTAGACTGACACCAGGGTAGAATATTAATACCATCAAATATTTACTGTTTACTTGGAAACAACCTAATAGATTTTATACCAATTATCCTTTTTTTTTTTAAAAAAAATAACATCTGGAATTTGTTCTTTAAGATAAGATAAGATTATTTTATTGATCCAAACAAATGGAAATGTTTTATTATCGCATTGTACATTTTCAGCACATGTATAAAACAATTTGAACCAGGGTTTCTTTCAGCTATATCTCACTGCCCCCTCCCCCCCCCCAACTGGGGAAAGTCAAGTGCCCCCGGAGCAAAAATATGTACAGCAATAAAAGAAAGTACTACATGAAAATTGTTTCAACAATTTTTAAAAGAATATTAACTTGGTGTCATTAACCGATTACAATGAGTGGAATCTATGAAATATCGCTACGCTCGATATATTTGATGATCCCTATAGTTCGGTTAATTTAATCTTCTTAGAAGCTTACATTATTCTATTATAAATATCGCAATATTTCGAACATTTGCCGATTATGAGCCGAAGTATTACTTCCTTTTAGCATTTATCGGTATTTTTGTTTAATTATTTTTTGCAAACTCACAAGTTTAAAGACTTTAATAACACTGTATTAAAGTACATTTGCATCAATTTTAAGGTCCATAATTTTAATAAAGTTCTCACTAAGTATCAAACGTGAGCAATCTTTTCATGTTTTCAAATGATATTTTATAATAAACACATGACTTTTAAACTAGGGAATGATGTTAATTACAAATTGAAAGATGGCGTCATGCTTTCAAAAATGTGGTTATTGTTAGCAATCAGTATTTTATTTTTCAGCTATCTCTGCGGTAAGGCACTACCCCATCCCCCACCAAGCCGGAGCACAATGTATACAACAATTTAACAAAAATATTTTCAAAAATTGAAAATGACATTTGCATGGTAACTGGTGCTTTTAACCGATTACAATTTGTGGAATCTATCAAATATCGCTTGGTTCGATATATTTGATGATTGGTATATTTAAGGCAAATCTCTTTATTTTATAGTATTCGATTATAAAAGCACACTTACCGCCCCCAGTCTTACTTCCTGTTGTTCAAATCTATCGCTATTTTTTATTTATTTATTATTTACAACTTCACAATTTTAAAGACTATAATGACAATGTATTATACTTTATTTACATACCTATAAATGCCTACAATTTTAATTATAGTTAGTCAAGTATTGTGCAATCTTTTTTCAAATTATAGTTCATCGTAATTTATAATTTAAAGGGCGCCAAGAAATAGTGCGCGTTTCATAAATTAGCATTAAATTAAAAGGGTTTTTGTTTTCTTTAATAGTGCTACCTTTGTTACAAAGTTTCCTGAATAACAGATGTTTTTGTTTTCTTTAATAGTGCTACCTTTGTTACAAAGTTTCCTGAATAACAGATGTGTTTGTTTTCTTTAAGAGTGCTACCTTTGTTACAAAGTTTCCTGAATAACAGATGTGTTTGTTTTCTTTAAGAGTGCTACCTTTGTTACAAAGTTTCCTGAATAACAGATGTGTTTGTTTTCTTTAATAGTGCTACCTTTGTTACAAAGTTTCCTGAATAACATATGTGTTTGTTTTTTCTAAATACTTAGCCCATATTTATTATTATTAACTTCAAAACTGCTTTCTCTTTTTAATGTCAGAGTAACAAACAAAGTGCCCCATCCATTATCACTGCACTCATTTTTGTATATTATTAATTTTATTTTCGAGGAGAATCCAGTAGAAAGCTAATAATTTTTTTTTTTTTTTTTTTTTT